TTGATCGATTGAAAAGTTCAAACCAGTTGAACTTTTCTGTTGATCAAACACGATCGATAGCGGTTGAAAGGTATTTGAACCAATGAGATTAAGTAAAGTTTAGCATGTGATCAAGTTACTAGGAAATCAGGAAGTGGAAAAATCAACAAAAATCTATGAATAGGCAGGCCAACTTTATGGTGCTACGGCCGTATGATCTTTTTTGTAAACAAAATAATTTTCTAGTATGCCTTCCAACGCTCCTTATTCTAACGAAGAGCTAATGGCATTCTTTACCAACATGCAAAATCAAAGCAGGGTACAAGTTAACTGGCAAACAGGGGCAGCTTCTGCCGAAACAGAGGCCTCAGCATTGGTCGATGATGAAAATTCAGCTGTTTACTTAGCTAATGTTACTGAGGGCAGTGAAGACGCTGACAGAAGTTTTGATGAAATGTTTGTTGAAGATGTACGGTCGTACAAATGCATATGGGACACTAGCTGCAGGGGTTTCAAAGATACCCAGATGAAACAGAAAGCTTGGGAGGAAATTGCGGAAAAGTATGGGAGGAATGGTGATTGTTAACTTTCAGTTTAAGCCCTCCTCGCCCTTGAATCTTTTTGAAGCCATAAGAGCACACAAAATAGATTTATTCTGGATTCATTTTTCATTAACATTTTGTCTTTTGCTTAATTGGGAAAAACTTGCAAGCAAATTACAAATGATCTTAAGACAAATAAGTTATTACAAGACTCCAGGGTCTCATAGGTTTTGAAAATCTTTCTTAGTTGACATTTATGGTCCAAAAATAAAAGTGCATATACTTTTCATCTCACCCCGTTTTTTCGTTGTAGTTGAAGATTTAAAGAAGATTTGGAAAAACTTGAAAGAAAACCTTTCCAAATGCTTAAAAAAGAGAGGCTTGATGACACGATCTGGTGCTGCTGCAAGCTCACTGCCTGAATATAAGCTTTTTCACCAGCTGCAATTTCTTAGGGATAAAGTAACAAATCGGCCTACAGTCAGCAACTTGCCACAGGAAAGTGCCCCTGCACAAGAAATTCTGGGAAAAAGTTGGCATCGCCTGTTAGTCCTGTCCCTTTTGCGCCAAGTCCTGCATCAAGCCTGGAATCGATGAGCACTATACCAGGGAAAATAAAAAGAAAAGCCACAACACTACCTCAAAGAAAACTATTAATTTCAGATGATGAGCATCCCGATAAACTTCTATACGAAGCATTAAAAGGAGATAATAGAGTGGAAGTTGATGCTGACCAGAGTTTCGCCAAAATAGAAATTCAGCAATTGTTGCTTAAATATGAATTTGACGATGATGAGTTCTAATCCGCAATTTTACAGTAATTTATTTTAGAAACACGATATGAATTTTATTTTAAAATATATTTTACAATCGTTGTATTAAAAGAGATAGCTTTAATTGAAATATATTGTAATAAAATGATTAAAGTAATAACTTAATTGTAATGAACAAATCCTATTTCTGATAATTTTCCAACTTACCGTGTAAGTATAACTTGTTTCCCTGTTTGACACATTGAGTAAAATATTCTGTAGTACAGCTCTGCAATAGAAATACTTAAGTCTAGGTAGCAAAAAGTCTATCATGAGGTTTTCATCATAAAAAATGATTTCTCTGAACAATGGCTCATTGTCACCAAACCACAAAACAAAATCCACTTTTTTTCAATCCTGCACAGAACATTTGCCTTTGAAGTTGAAAAAAGTTTTTGTGTTGCGTTTCCATGGTTACATCTTATGATTCCATCTGGATTTTTCTTGAGAAAATTTTTTCTGTCAAAAATGGCTTCAGCAAAGAAGAGTTGAACTTTAAATATAGATATTTTATTTCAAGGCCATAAGTTTCTTCATTTGCAAACACTAGGCCATCCATAGAAGCATCAAGAAATGGGAATGAGGTTGATAATTTGAGACCAACTACAGAAACATCAATATTTATGCCACTCTCTCTCATCAACACCAAATAAAGGTTGCGAACATGACTTCCATATCTTTTGATGCATAAAATATTGCTTTCAGCTTTGAAGTAGGCTCAACTGTATTGACTGCAGCAGTGTAGAAGTTGGAGGAGGTTATATGATAAAGTCTATGTTCATTCCACTTTTCATTTGAAGCCTGACCATAGCTTGATCTTTCAATTTCCAAAATTTCTGCTGAAGTTAACTTTGTTTTATGTTCGCAATAATAGTCCATCATTTCTTTGAAATAAGCTCTTGATATGTCATAATGTTCATTGAACGGAGAAGTCAGGATTTGGGAAACAGGGCTCTGAAGAGGAACTTGTTTTGTCAGGTAAGAAACATTTTTGTGAAAACCAAAGAAACCACTGTTAGGAAGACATGACAACAATTTGGACTTTAAAACTTCATGGCTATGTTCATTGATGCATCTGTCATCAGGTGCACAAGGATAAAAGAGTTTGTATTTTGAAATATTTATCTTATCATTATCCTTCCCAAATCTGATTTTTTAAATGATTAATTCATCAGTTAGAACTGGATGGAATGAGGTGGAGTCAGGTGGTGTTGGGGACATTCCAAGAAGATAACTTTGAGGTGCAGATTCAAATTCTTGTAGGCCTTGTCTGTTGAGATCTTCAAAGCAAATAGTATACCACCAACATGATTGCAGTTGCCTAAACCTCCCAAAGCCAAGCTAGCTGGGCAAGTACAGTCAGCAGAGCAGATATCACCAGAAGTTTTGCTAGTGTTGGTAACACTTTGTAGAGATGCTTTCTCGTTGAAGCCTTAACTCTGACACCAAAATAAATGGCTTTAAGAAAAGCAAACATTTTACAACATACTTAAAGCTTTTTCGTCTGACACTCCTCAGAGCATAAAACGTCAGAATAGGTTCCGAAAAAACACGATGGAAAAATATATACCCAGTTGTGGATTGAAATAGGCCAATCAGAAAAACGCAAGCACAAGACCGGTATAGTTGACCAACACCATCTGTTGGTGATGATTTGCGAAAAGAGCCAAAGCACATAGTGTTGTTATCAAAGCTTCTGCTCCTCTTCAACATTTGTTTTGTTTGCCAAGCTGACAACCCATACGTTAGAACATGGCATGGTTAATGTAAAGGAAATTTGCTGCAATCCAGAATGCGGCTACAAGTTTAACTTGTTTAGCCATCCATATTTTGAAAAAACAAAGATCCCTGTTGGTAATCTGCTGTTGTCAATGGCAACTCTGTTTGCTGGCGGATCCTTCAGAGATATTTGTACAATTTTCAAGCTTATGATAGTTAGCTGTTTTAGTCATGGAAGTACCAGAATGTTAGTTTTTGTCCCCTGCCAATTTATTTCATTATCTAGTTTAAAATTAACTATTTAAGGTTATGGTAAACGTTTTGAACACAAAAATTGGTTTTTCCTTCCTAAAGGCCAAACGGCTTAAGGAATCTGGATAAACTATATATCATTCGATGCACAAGATTATGGCGTATCTAGCCAGATAAAAATTATTGGCAAATAATGTTAAATGTTATTTTCCATGCGAATTTACTGGTCAAAAAGTGTACCACCTTCAAAAGCTATTATGTACCCTTGCGTTTGAGGTAACAAAATCTGACTTAGACCAGCAGGAAGTGCCGGTCCTAAGCTACCAAAGTGTGTCTCAGATTTTTTAAATTCCTCCTCTTCTTTAAACTATACCCTGTCAAAAATTGGCAAATAATTTTTCCACCCTCCCGCAGCTGTATTTTGGTATAAAAGACGGACCAGAGAAAATAAAAAAAATTTGAGACACTTTGTTTGCCCAACGTCTGCCCTGGCCGTGTGCAAATTTTCGAGCCATTCGATTGGTTCCTTGGGTATATAATAGCTTTTTCGTACCTGCGTGTAGAGGAATTTCGAGTCTGGAGAAAACGGGATTTTACTAATCGCACTTGCAAGATACACTCGTAAACCACAGTGTAATCCGGGTCAAGTCACTTGAAAATTTAAGATCAATAAGCCTGTTTAAATAAACACGGCCGTACATTGGGTATATGAATGTGCCATGCGATATTGTAAATGAGACATGCGACTACAACCGCAAAGCAACGATAATCAGCTAAAAAGGTCAAGAGATTTTCAGGCCTCAACTAAAAGTTTTGATAAAGAAATTATGGAAACCTTCGTTTACATGGGATTTTTTCCACTTTCAAAATTTCTGTTTGTTTCAAATTTGGTATCATTGTGTGCCTTGAAAGTTCGGCTACTTGAATGTGAAAAAATCGAAAAAATGATGTTTTCATCCAGAAAACGTTTACCGTAACCGTAACCTAAGTATAATTTTAGATTATTCCAAATGGAATCTATGGTTAATAAACTGTTTTGGAATGAAAATTTATGTTTTAAATTACCAGTGGCGTAGCGTGACTTTTTCAACTGTGTATTCTCTATTAAAAAAGGTGGGGCAGGTGTGGCTCGGTGGGGCTTGGTGAAAACAGGGGGTAATATGAAGATTAAAAGGGCTAGATATTGACATTTTATCTAATTTTCTTTTTGGCTCGGTTGGCACTGTTAAAGCATTACTATGATGCAAACGATACTTTGCTAAAGAACCCAAGGCAAATACACTCTTTGAACTCATTCATTACATAAAACTACCACTAAACATTTCGTCAAAAGTAATTCAAATCAAAACATATAATTTAAAGTCAGTAAAAATATACTGGTCAATATTGTTGTTGTTGAATTCTTTAAAATATTCACTGATGGAAAGCTGTACCTTAATGTCTCTTGATACCATAATGCAAAAGGCCTTTCAAAAGTTTTGAAATTTTTTTACAAAGGGTATTCATTACATGAGTTATGAATAGTTTGTGGTATGCAATCTAGACTTTTTCTTCATTGCCTAATCGTGATATTTTCAATACAAGTTAATGTTTGAAAGAATCGAAGGTAAGGAGACGAGACTGCACAATAATGCAAATAAATGCGCTTGAATAATGCAAACAGAATAGGCCAACAATATAACTGAATGCACTATGAATGCATAAGGATATTATCCAAGCCTATCTGCATAGAAAGTTCGGCAACAGAGAAATGTCAGTGTCATCCATTACACCATCACAGAGGATGAACAAAACCAAGCACAGGCTGTGGATCTTGTTTAATTTGGATGGGAGCATAATCACAGCATTTTGTATGTGTACTGCTGGCCATAGTCAGTGTTGTAACCATGTTGGAGCTGCATTGTACAAAATCGAATATGCCAATGAAAAGGAATCACTGACCCTGCTTGTACTGATGAAGCCTGCCCATGGAATACTGCTGCAAAAAAAGGTCACCCCCTTGAAAGTAAAGGACATGCACTTAGTTATGCACAAAAGGGGAAAATCTGAAAAGCAAAAGAAGTTTCTCATGTGCAAAGAAAAGCAGGGGTTTGATCCACGGCATCAAGGTGCTCAGGAGGTGATCGCGGAAGATATAGCTGCCTTTTTTGCAAATATTAAACAAGTTTTACCAACAGCTGTTGTAAACCACACATTTGCACATGCACCTGAGAAAGATGTGCCCCCATCATTGTTGGAGATTGTCTCAAATATAGTAAAAAATTCAACAAAGGATCCAGATCAAATATTGGAGACATTTTTAGCAAAGCTTTCTTTCAATGATGATCAGCTGAGAGAGCTTGAGAAAGTGACAAAGAGCCAATCAAGTTCTAGAGATTGGTACAAGCAAAGAAAAGGGCGGATCACTGCATCAAAATTCCATGATGTGCATTCAAAGATGCAGGCCTTATCAAGGAAGGGCAAGGCTTGCAGAGTAACCCTACTTATTTTGGCCATAGTGGAGCCAAAAATTTTATTGAGCGTCCCATCTCTTGAATTGGGCAAGCAAAATGAAAAAAATGCTGCAGAGGCTTTCATGCAACAAGAAGGAAAGCATCATGAAAATGCCAAATTTATTCCCTGTGGTTTATATTTGTACAAACCACACCCATATATTGGTGCAACACCAGATAACATTTTCAGTGCAAATGCTGTAGTCCAAGTCCAAGTCAAATACAAATGCCAATTTACTATAAAGGAAGAGGACATTCAAACTTCTTGGAATAAAATTAACTTTTTGGTAAAAGTTTATGAGACAATTAAACTAAAAAGAAGCCACAAGTATTCAGATCACAGGGCAAATGGCAGTGAATGGACTAAGGCAGACATACTTCATTGTATACACAAAGAAAAGTATTTTTGAAGAGAAAATACAATTTGATGATTGTGACTGGCAAAAAATATGCCCAAGTCTTATGATGTTTTTAAAACATATATTCGAAGGTACTTGCTTGGAGGCATTGAAATTTTCGCTTGTCCAATTTTTGAAGAGCCATGTCTAATTGAAAAAGAGCTTGATTCTAAAGAAGAAAACAGCATTCACCATTGGGGCTGTTGCAACATTAAAGAACAAAGTGATGTATGCACGGAATTCGTTTGCTTGTTACGTACATAGAAACAATTTGTAAAAAACCTATTTTTCATTGTCAAACTAAAGATAGCTAGTATTTACTTATCACAAAATATATTTATCATTTATTATATAATTTGATACACATTACCTAAAGACTTCAAATATGCCTCCACCTTCATAGAAGCCCTCGCTTTAATAAACGCCCCACCCTATAATTTTTTTCGAAAGTGAACATATAGAGGTCTTTTAAAGGACTAACAGCATTTTTCAAGTCTTGTGGTGCTAGTGCATTTTGAGAAGTATTTTTCTTCCCCTTCCAATAGTGCATTGTTGTGGTCTTTTTTGAAAGGAATTCAAAAACCAGCTTGAAAGTTGATGAAATTGAAAGGCCTGTGAAAAAAGTAACATCATGATCTCAAGTCAAATCAGCAAAAATCATGGCTGAAATCATTGGATCTGAGCACTGTACATTTGCAGTGGTATTTGAATCTATGTCTTCAGAAGGTGATGGCTGAATAACATCAGCCATTCTGTTCTGTCTTCTTAAACGCTTTCTTGGAGAAGGCTTTCAAGCACTGCACAGACATGTACAGTGTTAGGATCGGAAATGATAATGAAGGCTTTCCATATTCAACATGGTTGGAACAAACTACCTTGTTGTTTGGGACTTGAAAATAAATTAGTCTTTTTTCCACTTCCTTCACCAACAACTTTCTCTTCTCGGGATCTTTCGGAAAGTAGTGGAACTTCAGCTCTTGTACAATGCTTCGCTTAACTATCTTGTCTGGATATCTTGAATCGTTATCACAGCCTTCAACACAACAACGGTAATTTAGCATCGCAACAGCCTTAATGACTTAAGCGAAGACACTTTGAAAACCTGTATCCTTGAACATAAACACACTCTAAGTCCAGCCAAGCGTTAAAAATCTAGGCCCTGATTTCCTTGCCCTAATTACCCAAGATGCAACACAAGACCGTGAACGGGTCTATTGCTACAAAAGGAGATAAAATACTAAAAAAATGAATAGCGCAGAATAATGTTGAGAAAATATGAAATAAAACACCAATACAGGGCTTCATCAGAGAGAAAGAACACTTTCTCTCCTTCTTTGATGCTTCCATTTTTTCAACTCCAGTAGGTTTTAAGTTGAGGAAAGTTTAAAGACCTGTTTTGTATTTTTTATTTATATTCTAGGCTACATAGATGAATTGTTTCAAGTATTTATGAATGCAAGTGAAAAAGAGTTGGCAAATGCTAGAAAACAATTAAAGGGACTCTATCCACCACCAATGAATGTAATGTTGGAAAAACAGCCAAAGGATCAGGCAGTGACCCAACATTATGCACGAAAATTGATGAAAGTGCCTAATGTACCTCCAAGCTCACAAGGTGTGTATTTTATTGTTTGTACATTTGGTGGCTTTGGTTTGTTTATCAGTTGATGAAATTTGAGTGATTGTTATTTGTGATTTAACAACATACAAATGTTTTTAAAAATTTATTTTATGTCATGTGAGAAAGAAATTTTACTAGCCTTACCTAGACCCCCTCACTTTTCAACAATTTGTTATGTTTCTATCTTTGAAAATGTAACAAGGCTTGCAAATCTACCTCTAAACAGTTATTTTTGCCTTTATATTGCTGGTTGAAGTTGATAGAAAACCAAAAAGGCCAGCTGCTCAGTTAAGTCCCAAGAGCAAGTGCTGATTTTGAAAAATGAGGAAGACAACACCATCTGGTTTTTAAAAACAATCATCAAAAATAATTACATGTAAAGTTATTTTACTAGGTACTGGCCAAGAAACAGGCAAAGTTAAACAAAGGCGGAAGCCAATGTGCAAGAAGTGCTGTGTTCCAATGAAACAACATCACTGTCCATTTAAATAGTTTTCTTAAATGTACTTGTAACTTTATGTCAGATCTTGTTCATCATTTTTATAACCACAATGTCTCTCCATATTCTAATGGGAACTGTCTTCGAATTGGAGCATAAACACGTGAAGCTAGAGGAATTCTTTTCTTTCCTAAACGGCTATAAACCATTCGTACAAATACCTTGTAGGATATACTTCTTAGGAACCTATAAAATAACTCAAAAAATGGCTGTGATCATAAAGGAATAACAAATCTTCTGGAGTAGTGCTGTACCTTTTATAATTTCCTTTAAATGTTGTGCCACTTTCCTTTAAATGTTGGCCCAGAGAAATGCCATAATGCCCAGAGAAAGATCAAAAACTTTATTTGAAACAGTCCAGTGTTGTAACAGGGGCAGTAAGATAGTATAGACAAAGAGTCAAATGCTATGCTTTTCAGAACTTCCATTTATTTGGATTGATTTAGCTGCAGGCTTTGGGCCCTTTTAACTCGTTTATCATTTCTAAAGCACCAGCCTCAAAATAAAATAACACAGAAAAATTTTGCTGGGGGCCCTTAAGGTTGGGGGTCTTTGGTTTTTGTACCAAGAGTAACTTCAGTCTGTTATGCCTCTGGCACAATCAGTTTAATCAACTCTAGTGATAAACCTGCTAAGACAGTTACTATAGTACCATTGCAGCAAGCGTTTTTTACATAGAGTTTTTTTCACCCTGATGAATCTTAGAGAGTTGAATAAAAGTATCTGTTATACTCATAATCGGTTTTGAGCTAACTCAAGCTTATCTTTATCGGACTCAAAGGATTCATCTCGCTAAACAAGCAGCTCTCACATTAACCAGTCCATGTATGCAATTTAATGCTATCAATGAAGGGTTTTTGAGATAAAATTTGTCTCTTTTTTTTCAAATATTTTATTGAATGTACGTAAAAGATCATCCAAAGTAACTTCTCTCTTTTTAGCTTTTGATTTTTTCATTTGTACCTCAACATTGCTCTCTTTTTCGTCCAGCTGCTATAGCATTTTGGTGATATTGTTTCTTCCAGGTTTTTTGCATGTAGAATGCATTAGAATTTTTCTGAGATTTGCTAGGGATGCATTCTTCTTGAAATCTTCCTCACCATCGCCAACGAGAGGAATTTTGGAAGCATATTCATTAGGAACTGTCATTATGGTTTCTTGCAATTAAATAATGGCAAGACATAATGAAAACTCTCTCTGGTATGCCTCCTCTATAAACGTTGCAAGAGACTCATTTTCCAGCATTGTTTTAAATATTGTGTTACAATGCTGCTTTTTGGTACAGCTTCTTTATCTCTCATATTAATTTTTTGTTTGTTTTAGTAGTGGGCTTTCTTTTTATAGCTTCCTTTTCTCTACTACTAACTGGTAAAGTTTATTCAACGCATATGATGGCCTCAAAAACTATTTACAGTTAATGGGCTTGGCCTATTCCATGGCAGGAACATGATCCCAACAATAAGCAAAACCATATAGCCGCAAAAAGGGTTTAGAAAACTAGTTGAAGAAGCTGGCACCAGCGCTTATTCCTTATTTGTACAGTGAATTGCATGGTATTGCCATTTGTAGAATTCAGGATACAAATTAAATAATGTCTTTACTGAGAGAGGATAAAGATAATAATAGAAAATGTATTGAGTTAGAGCAGGACATCATCATTAGAACTGTACCTAAAATAATGATTTATGTTGCTTGATCATTTCATGTAAGTTTTGAAATTTTGATGCAAGAGTTCATCCCAGCATAAAAGATATCTTGAGAGTAGTATATGTGTTAAAATAATCATATATTTATCTGATAATCATATATATATAGGGTCTTTTGCAATCAGCTCCGTTATCGCAAATAAGTTTCTTCTGTTTTCTGAACTTTCGCCCATGTCATTTACTTTTGTATCCCTGTGCCCTCTCAGTGAGAGCCTCTGTTTGGCACAAAGCAGGATGGCATCAACTATTGTTGCAAGTACGTGCTGGTTTGGCGGATAGTACTGCTCTGAAGTTTTGTCAGCCTCAGCACTGTTTTCTGGATGCAAGAATGTCCTCATGAAATTGGAACCTTGGGCAACTGCAACTTTGTGGTAGTGGGTCTCTGCATGGGCTTTGATCAGTTCTGATTTCTGTATCTTTTGGAATGCTGAAGCAAAAAATGCTCCTATTTGGGCTTTATTATAAGTTTTGTCAAACAAGACACACAGTTTACACAATCCTCTGTTCAAGTCTGGACTGTAAATAGCGTTTTCTTTTTCCCATTCTTACTTATCTTCAAAGAAAAGAGTTTTTCAGAAGCACTTGGCTTAAAATGATATTTCAGATAGTTTGTACTTGTCTTCATCCGTTAGGTTAGCCAATAGTCTTTTACCAAGTACAACATCTGCAAAATCATAAGCCCGCTTTATTTCTTGTTGATGTTTAAAACTGCAACGGCATATTCCCTGACTTCAGTCAATTGGCTGTCTTCGCTGTTGCTGATGCTTTTGCCATCGTCCTAGCTGGTCTTTTCAATGCAGGTCTTTTCATTTTCATTTATTCCTTTCCTTTGTGTATCTTGGCCTACACCACTACTTTTGCGGAAAGATTCTGCCACAGAAACAAATGTTGCATTTCTTGACGCTTCTGAATCTTTGCGGAGTGCTTTGAAGAAAGAAAGTTTGCTCTGTCACATACCTTCCGCAGCAGGCTTGAGTGCCATCTTTTTCCGCTTCAAAACTGCTGCTGCTAGGCATGGATTTTAATAAATTCACTCTAAACGTTGAAAAATGTGACAGCAGTACCAGCTCGAACAGAGTTTTGTATCATACAAATCAAGCATAGGCCAAGAAAGAACCTCTTTATTCTGTCACATACAACTTGGTCGCAAATAATTTGATAAGAAACGGAAAAAGCAATTGTGATC